TAGAGCACCAATTGCAGGGATGTAACAAAAACTGCAAAGCAGGTAAGGACCTTGCCTGACTTTTTTAATCCCTGAGACAAACTGTAGTGCTTCCTCGTCCAAAGATGTGAAAACTCTCAATTTGCTCTGTGCTATTGGGCCCAGATTTCAGTACTGATTTTAGGAATAATTTAACTGAATCCCACTATGGATGCTCAGTTCCTTTAAAAATTTAACTTAGTAAGGCATGTGGTTAAAAATGGTACTACATCTAGTTGAAAATGAGCTTATAAATTGAAATTATAAATTGTAATTGCAAGGCAATGTGCAGTAAGATGACAGAGTGCTAGAAAATGCTAATGAGCACTGGTCAGTCTCCAACAAATGGAATTTTTCTCTTAGGAAGTCTTTTAACATCACAACACACATGGCATTTGCTTTCTTTGCACCATTTCTCTCATGAGCAGTTTTCTTACTGGTGTGCACATAAGATGCTTTAATGAACTTTCTCTTCAGTTTTTATTATCTGGATTGTTTCACCTTCCAAATGCCACTAAAATCTATGACCAGGCACCACCAGAATACCTCCTGTAGTCCTCCTTTGGATATAAGGCAAAAAAGCCAGAAAAAGAAATTCTGGCATTTTGCAGTTTTTAGATATGAGATGCATAACTATTATAGAAAATGGAATTTGAAAGTGTTTTGCTGAGTTTCTTGGGTTTGTGGCCTTTTACTTTCAATTTTAAAACCAAAGTACAGTTAAAAACGGATGTAACGAAAGTAACAGCACAGAAAAGATGTCCAAAACCAAACAAGTAATTTTTCTCATTCTTTTTATTATGCTCAGCTATTTTTATTTACTTCAGTTGGTGAAACAAAGTGCTTGATGCAGACACCTGACACTAAGGCATGAAAACATGTCCCTCCTTTGAATAAAAATAACAGAACTCATTTGGGTAACAGTATATTCCTTTTAGTGATAAACTACTTGCATGTGATCTACCACAAAAAACTAAAGGGGAAATTCCAATATACATGTAAGTTTTGTGGTTATTTCAAAGTGTTCTGCTTTTCTGGGTGTCACTGAACCTGCTGCTTAAGGTAGTTAATTGGAACAGGTTCAGCATCCATTGGTCCCACAAGAAGGAGATCTGCAGTCTGCTGCACATCTTCAAAGATGAAATTCTTATCCCAGGAATTCTTACAATTGAATTAAGGTCGCTGATAAACACTGCAAGCCTTAGAATAGAAAGGTGAGAAGAGGAGAATAGTAACAGAAAATAAGTCTTTATATAGCTCATGCTTATTTTGTTGATTGAGTGCATTTCCTGAGCCTGGGCAGTGTGGCAGTCATTCTGCATATCTTGGAGGGGGTCAGTTTTAATACAGTTGTACTAAACCACTCCCAGCAGAAACATCTTATCAGACAGATCACCATCCTGCTACTCTGTCTTACAACTATTTATAAGTAGTATGCTTCAAAACGATGTGTATGTTCGAAATACATTCCCAAACAAACAAGCAAAATTTCAGCCAAAAATCGACTGGCTCTTCAAATACAAGCCAGCTAACAACAAAATACAAATCACATATAAAATGCTTGTGGATTTTAGAAATGAAGCTGAAGAGTTTTATGAGCACCTTTATTTCTCTGCTTTCACTTCTTTTGACTGCTAGCCCACTTTAGTTGATTGAAAACCCTCTTCCCCTCCGGAGCCAGCCGCCAGCCCCAAGCAAAGAGCAGTGTTTCAGCCGTGGCAGCAGAGTCGGAGCCGTGGCAGGCACCGTCCCGCAGCCGGCGCTCAGGTAGGAGAGGGAGGAGGCGGGAAGCCATTTCCTAGCCTGCCATCCCTGCTGCCGGCAGCCAAGAGCACGCAAACTGCTTCGGGAGTTGCATCGCCTGATCGGTCAGGCAAGGATCGCTTTCGAACACTCGTACCGATCAGCTGCACAGCACAGGTCGTGTGCGCGCGTAGGAGGGGAAACAAAAAAACAACAGAAGCAAGCAAACAAACAACAACAAAAAAATCGCAAACTACAAAAAAAGCGGAGCGTGCTCCAGTCACAGCCGCCGGGGCCCGAAGCCCGGAGGGAGGCAAAGCGGGGCTGTATGGCCGAATCCAGCGGCAGCTCCCGACTGCCGGCCTGCTACACGTGACGGGGCGCCGGCCGCCGCCATTTTGTGCGGGCGTCCCCAGGCACCGCCCCCCCGCCCGGGCTCCCACCTCCCCCGCCCGGCTCGGGAGCGCGCAGGGCGGCGGGGAGCGCGCACGCCGGGGCGGGGGGGCCGGTCCGGAGGAGCCGCGGGACCCCCGGGCCACTGGCGCCATCATGTACCGCTCCGGCAGCGGCCGCTCCGGCCCCTCGTCCTCCTCCTCCTCTTCCCACCGGCTGAAGGAGGGCGGCTCGTCGGCGTCCCGCACCTCCCGCTTCAGCACATCGGGGCCGGGGCCAGGCCACGGCCGCCCTCCCCCGCCGATGCCCGCCGCCGCTTGCGCCGCCGCCTCGCCGCCGCGCTCCGCTTCGCCCCGTCCGCCGCCGCTCCGCCGCCACCGCTCCCCATCGGGCCACCGCGGACCCTGCCGCCGGTCCCCGTCGCCGCACCGCAGCCGGAGGTTGCCGTCGCCGCCGGGAGGAGCGGGGCTCGGCGGGCCCCGGGGCCGCCGCGGCAGCGAGCACGGAGACGGCGGCAGCAGCCGGGTAAATACTGCCGTGCACCGAGGGGGCTCGGTGCGAGTCCTGCCCCCTCGCCCCGGGGGGCTGTCACAGCCCCAAACTTGGCGTGGCGAGGTCCTTGCGAAATTACACCGGCGCCGGGCTCTCCCTGTGCGGAGGGAGATTGGCACTTTCCCCCCTATTCCTTAAAGAGCCAAATGGGGAAAAAATTTATTGATTTCCATTTTAAGTGATGTTTTCCCGCTAGTTTCCATTGCATTTTCATTTATCTTACTGGCTAGAGCCATTTTAGAGAAGGTTCAAAGATGATGCTGTATTTTCGTTAAGGCAGAGGATGTAACTGTTCGTTTTCCTCCATTTAACACATTGGGTTGTGTTAGTGCATAAATACCGTTTAACTTATGGGAATATAACTTTTCAGACAGTATGTTGAATGAGCACTTTGTCTGAATTCTTTCTGCTGTCACGGCGGGCGTACAAAGAGGGCTGTTACTGATTTATATTTTTGAGAGGTATTCTTCGGTAGGCACTGCTTTGTAGTTGGGGCTATGCACAGGGTGTTCTAGCCTTCTCACTTTGTCTTGGCAGTCTGATTTGGGCATGTGAAGCTCTGTTTTGGCAATTGTAGTGGATGGCATCTTGGATGCAGACACCTTCGTAATAAATCAAAATGGGAAGACTATTTTTTTGCGTGAGTGGGATTCGCTCACTTAGGTTTTGTCTTGCTGCTTCTTGGTGTGGTGATTGTTTTGTCTGGTGACTCTGAGCTGTGTGTGGTGTGTAAAAAGTTCATTGTGCGTTTATATTACCGTGAAAGAAGAGATTTTCATACGGGGGTATTCCAGGCAGTGGTTGCATGGTCACCCAAGTCCAGCACACATGCAGTTGGAAAGAACGATATGCTTGCCTTTTCCTCATGCTTTGCAGTATATTCTGCCCTCTCCAGTGTGCTCAGATGTTCCAAAGAGTGGAACTAAATATTATGGAAACATAGCACACAGCAGATATGTTAGGTTATCATGACTGGTTAAAGTTTGAATAAAATGTTTAGGGTTTTATGACTTAAGACCTTCTCTCTTCAGAAGCTTGAGAATACAGAATGTGCAGATGTGGAGAATTGCACAAATATATTAGTAAGTGGGATTTTGGAGCTGAAAGGACATGAATCCAGAAGCCCGAGGAAGAGGAATTTAAGTTGCAACAAGGGAAGAGGACTTGAAAGAGGGGAGTATATGCATAAGGGTGGGAGATACAGTATATAGAATGAAGACACTGATGGGATAAGGGTATTGGGTTGAAATGGAGAAAATTTGAGTTTGAGTACAAGTTCCAGGTTATTGTCCCTATCCTGCATATGAATTGGAGTATGAAAGCAGCAGCCTTAGTGATTTCTTACTAAATTTTCTTGTTTCTGGGAGTTTCGGTTTGGTTTTTTTGTTGTTGTGATTTTTTTTCAAAAATTATTATTTGTGAGATCGAGTACATGCATTTCCAGTTTACAGCATCGTTGTACATTTTGTTGTACATACCTGGGATGTTGACAGTGGAGCTGCGTATTGGATGTTGTAAGTAAGGGATGGCGTTAGTTTGTTAATAGCTGAGGAAAGCTTTGTAGTGATTGGAAGAACATGGAGTGACAGCAAAGATTTGGGGCAAGTACTGAGAAATGTAATGGAGGAGAAGAAGGTCAGGGCTTTACAGTGAGAGATTTTGACAGGCTTTTATTTGTTCTTGCAAGGCTGACACATGCTGTTTTTATTTATCCCTGCTGACCTGCGTGCTTGTTCTTTTTAAAGGTTTTGTTTTAGCTTCTTTGCTTTCTTGTAAGAAAATTGGCTGAGATTAGAGGACTGGAGCATGTGGGGTCAACAGAGAATGGAGAAATGACAAGCAGGTATGCAACCTGTTCAGTAATATGGCAGTGGTAACTGTGGTTTAGGTGACAGAACAGGAAGGGAGAAAAATGCAGTGCAATGTACACATAGGTATGACTAGTGGTGGTGTTCAGTGCTCCAGATACAAAAGCCTGTTAAAACTGGAATTTGTCCAGTTAAGAAAAAAATATTAAAAAATCGTGAAATTCAGAAATTTACTGTCCTAACTGTTGTCTCTGGGCAATTTGTATAGGTCAGTCATAAGCAATCCAAACATCCCAAACATTCTTAGTGTAAACTATCTTTTTCCTTTGTCCAGAGTTTGTTCTGAGATGTAATCATCACTTCTCCGTCTTCAGTGGAGGTGATTGTCATATATATATATGCCCACAGTCTTCATGACAAGAAGATGGCCTTGAACATAGTAATTTCTTGAGGCAGCTCTCAAAATTCAGTGTTCCAATGGGCACAAGTGAGCTTTCAGAATGTATTTGTATGAGATACATGCACCTTGAATATGTTATATCTCAGCCAGGCTGTTGAAGGATCATATTGTGCTGGACAAGGGAATTGGTCTTAAAAAGTAATTAGTGTGTTTTGATAAATGCTGAGATTCAGCTTAATGGAACAAAACAGAAATCACTAGTATGTGTCCTTAAAATAAAGCTATATGCACAATGGATTCTAGTATACATTTGTACTGCAAGTGGATTTTGATAGGTAAACTAGTAAGGGAATTATTTTGCTTTTGGTGGAGATTATGTACTGTTCTTCTGGTCTCTTGGGGGAGGATTGAGCTGAACCTGCTGCCTGTTCTCAGGATGGATGCAGACAATTCAGTACACCTGCTGCTTGCTACTGCAGTTTTCAGCAGTCAAATTGGTGTGCAGTGCATGACTGGTTTGGCAGAACTGAAGTGGTTCACTGCTTCGTCGTGTTAAGCAGAATCTATATTGTGTTAGTTTAAAAAAGCAAATTAAGTATCTCTGTCTTTAGGCAGACTCATCTGGTTTTTATGGAACTCCCTCTAGCTCTGATCATTCCTGTATTCCAGTGCTATATTTTAGAATAATATGAGGTAGTTAAACATAACTTACTATTGATGTTGTTTTGTGTACTGTGTATGTGTACAAAGGAAGGTCTGTGCAGAGGCAATGAGCTCAAGTCTTTTCTCCCGTAGGTTTTTCAGAGGCAACTTAATTTAGTTTACTCTGGTTTATCTCTACCAGTAATAAATAATGGTAGTGGGAATTTTAGACACCTATAGAAGGTGTTTCTGTTGGCATTGGTGTTTTTAGTATTATGTTGTGTTTATCTGCTGAAAGCAGCATGAGGTGAGGAAAACTGTTAAAAACATCACTGCTAGGAAAATCTTTATTTACACTGGTTTATACTTTGGTTCATGTCGTTACTAAAGTTGTAAAGGGACAGAAATCCAGACGCTTTATTAAGAAATTCCTGGCAGTGCTTTTTATGTAATGTTTATTTAGCTGCTTCTTCTCACAAAGAAAGGAGAACAGCAGCAAATTTGGGACTTTGTGACTTTCTCTTTGGTTTTACATCTTCCAAAACGGTTCTTTATGAAATGTATTTGCGCTGAAAATTTACTGATAATTTAAATATAGAGCATGTTATTAGCACCTGGGATGAGAAGTTAAATGCAGTCAATACTTTCTCCTTTCTTTAGTAATTAAATAGAATTGAAGTATTTAGAACAGTTGTTCTTCTAGTTTGATTTTCTAGTAGATCCATCCCCCCAAGACAAATTTATTAAGCAGAGCAGAATCACTTTCCTTTCTGTAGCTGAGATTAAAATCCCGTGATTGATGGGCTTGCACTCTTTCTTCAATTTCCAGAGGCGTTCACCGAGTCTCCGCTCTGAGTCTTCACTGGAGCACAGTTTGCGGATTACTGTTGGTAATGACCGGTACTGCATTGGCACACCGGAGCGAAGGAGGCTGCCTGATAGACTGGGCTCACCAATTGATAACCTGAATGACAGGTATGGTCCTCCACAGGTGGAGATTCACATGGGTGGGAATGGCTCTGCTGGATGAGACCAAACATCTCATTAATTAGCCCACTGAATGCCTAGGGAGTGAGGGTAAGCATGTAGAGATGCTTCCCAGGAATATTCCCCCAGCCTCTCCAAGTTGTAGTGCAGGGAATTCCTGAACAAAAGTCTCTGTGTAACTCGAAACAGATATTTCTTCTCTAATTTTTGTCAGCTGCTTCTAATCTCCATATAAACTAAGTATGCTCGTCATATATTGTAGGAGAGAGTGTGATGTTAATCCCTCCTGTGCTTCCTTCCCCTTAAGGGTGGGATGTCACATGGAGACGCTTCATTTGGTATTTCACTACTTCAGCCACCTTCTGTTTCTTATGAACCTACCTAGTCCTTACTGAAAGGAAGATTGATTGGTATAAGGATAGTGTAAACCTTCAGCTTCCTAATTTAATGGGAGGAATTGTCTACTTTCCTCATTTTTGAGACTAGCCTAGAAGAAAACTCTAGAGCAGCTTGAAGATTATTATTTTGACTTTAAAAACCTTGCAGAAGGGAACATAGACAGTCTCATATATTATAAAGAAAGCGTTAGAATTCTTAGGATCATTTGACTGAAATTGGAGAGAAACAGTTAATGGAGAGAATTCTTTTGTGTTAAAAATACTGCTGTGAACAGTGAAGTATAAATATTAGTAGATGCAATTTGGAACTCTTTGCCTTCAGTAGGAGAACTGGTATAATCTGGCCAAAGAAAGAAAATCAGAAAACTGCAAATAATTCTCTTTGTTTTGAAATGCAAAATTAAAGATGGCATAGCTTGTGCCCTGGAGCATACAGCTGCACTTTCGGGTCAGGCATAAGCATCTAGCACAGAAAAAAAAACATTACCACTTCCATTTTTGATGCAAATATCAACTGTTAAAAAAAATATGAGAGAGAGGGAAGCGAGCAGAATAAATGAATTTCCTGTCTTTCTCAAGTGTAAAGTTAAGTTTCAGCAGGTGTAGAAAATCAAATGGGAGTTTGGTTTTGTGTACTGTCACTTTTATGCCTTGACCTCAGTTCTCCTGGCATCAGTGTTTGATTTGTAAATCCCCTGTGCAGTCTGCAATCTTCTAAATAAATGAGTGTATATGCTTGGGGAGTACAGTGATTGGAAGGAAAAGGAAGTGGTATGTCAGGAACTGGCACTTCTCTGGCAAATTAGGAACATTTAGGGGCAGGGGGTGGTGGTGTTTGTCCCATTGCTTCATGTTCTCAGATGAAATTTTAGATTTAACCTGTTCTGTGGTGCTGATGCATAGTTAGAAGTAACATCAGGTATAGCAGAGTTTAGTTAATGTAAGAGTGAGAAATCACAGAAGTTGACTTCTCTATTACAGAACCCATAGATGTGAAAAAGAATGGTAAGAATAGACTCCAGAGAAGGTTTAAAAGTGACAGATGAGTTAGAATGAGAAGAAGATAAAGTGAGACCGTGTAGACTTTAATCTTAAGTGACTTCTTTGTATTTGTAGTGTAAGTATGCAAGAACTTAATATTGTTACATTTGCTTTTTTTCTTTTTTTTTTGTCCAATCTGTGCTGGCTGCACTTTTCTGAGTGAAGCCCATTGTCCAGAAGCTTAAAGTATATGACAACCAAGTCACCTGTTAGGTGCCAAAAATCACCTTTTCCTAAATCATCTAGGTACTACTTCTGAATTCTAAGTTTCTTCACTGCTAGCCATTTTATTTGTTTTCAAAAGACGCTTAGTATTCAGTTAAGGACATTATTTATCAGGTATTTTGCATCAAGTATTTTTCCCCTCTCTGAGAGGCTGCCCTGGTACTGGGACACTGATTTTTTATCTATCACTGGGCTGTAAAATGGTTCTTACTGATACTGCTCATGTCACATTTTTATTTGGCATATGGTGTGTTCTCATTCTAATAAAAAAAAGGCAAAAGAAAAAAGCGTTTCCTGAAGATATATTTGAAGATATCTCTTCAAATTTTGAAGTAATTGGAGCAAATAATTCTGGATTTCATTATTCTCAGCTATTTTTCCTAACTACTCTACCTTGATATTTCAAGCAATCACTTTGACACATTTTTCTCTGTAATTTGTAGGCCTTGGGATGGCAGAGAAGTTCATTAGTCTGTAAAGGTAATAAAATATCAAAGGAGGGAAATCAGGGAGGGCTTTTAGAGTCTTCTGCAGCAGTGGATTTTCAAGATGCCCCAGGAGACTTTCTCAGGGTGTGTGTTCACATGCAGGTCCATCCTAGAACATCTGTAAGAACTTGCCCCAAGTTTTAGGGCAGTTGGTCTCCTGCACATGTCCAAATAGGCACACTGAATGCTGCTGGACCGGGTCTTCAAGGTCACCTAAGCAGCTTCAGTCTCCTGCTTGGACCAATAAGAGTGTTTTTTTGTCTTCCAGAATCTCAGTCTGTCAAAGTGAAAAATAAATCTTTTTCTCTCTCCCTGTCTTTCATCTCTCCAGCTTTCAGTATTTTTAAGACATTCTACTACTATCTGAGCTGGCATAAGATATAGAGAGCATCCCACCAATCCTTTCATCTGAGGTTAATACAAAAGATAGACCAAATTACTGCAGAGTCTTGGTCTGTGTTAAGCTGTGTTCTGAAATAGCATTTTTTGGCATAATATCAAGAGTAACAGTTGGCTTGAATATGAACAGCTCATCTGACTCCCTGTTCAAAGACTGTGTGTTAAAGTGGAGTCCTGCTGATTGCTGACAGCAGAATACCACTATTTATTTCTGTTTCTGTGTATGTGAATAAACATGCCAAAAAGTAAATTACCTTACATTAGTTGTAGGTCTCTGAGGCATCATGTGTGTGTAGCCTGTGGTATGTTTTCCATCTCTGAAACAGCAAATACAGTGATTCATGGATTCTTTGTTGGTGAAAGAATTGAGATGATCACAGTGGTACCACCTTGCATCCTCTCTTGGGGGTGCAGTAGTCAGTAGTGGACATCACTGGCTGAAAGCATCCAAACCAATTAAGAGGGATATAACACTATTGGACTGTACACACAGAAAACATGTTTCAAACAGTCCTTTAAGGCAAGTAATAATTTTTCTCATACCTGTATTTAATTTTCAGGTTTTAAATTTGCATTTTAGCTGTTTGAGTGTATTTGGAATGTCTTGCTAGTTTTAAATACATTAGGTTTGCTGTTCCTTTCCAAAGGATGATTAAAAATTGCTTTGTCACTGCAGTCAGTGTTTGAATTGTAGGTGACAGCTACCAGACATGCACGTAAAAAATTTTATTTGCACAAAAATCAGCTGAAGGTATATGGTGAAACACATCTGTTACTCCATCAGGTATGTTCATGCAGCTTGTACAGGTTTAGCAGGCTCTCAGAAAACATGCCACTGGGAATAGACATACCTTTGTGTCGGTTGTGAAAACAACGTTTATTTATGAAATTTAATTTAGCTATTTGTAGATGTTTTTGTGGTTTTGGAGGAGGTGGATATGTGTAGTTGGCTGAAAACTGGAAAGATACCATGTAATACAATGAGTACAGGTGCATGCCATATTTGTTTTATAAGATGTGTTGGACTGATACAGTATCTAATAAATGCTTTGCAATGATGCAAGGTAAGATGAAGCTTTGTGTTGATTTTGTTCTTAAATATGCATGTGTAAACTGTGAAAATACCTAAGAAAAAGACCTTACCTGTGCATCTCTGTTATTCTTTAGTCTGTTGTGATAAACTGGGGCTGTAATTTATTTGCAGATTTTTTTGAAGACGTTTTCTGGCATGACTTGATTTGTCCCTCCTCAAATATATGGAGGGACCTTTTTGAGTAGGAGGAGGTGGTTTTTGTGGATTCAGGCCATTATACATAGTTTATCTCAAATTGATTCACTCAGGAAAGAGTCTTCTGTCTCATTGATGTCACTTAGGGAGCACATTTTCTTTCTTGGACAATCATGCTAGATTTTGAAATATCAAGAAGTAAAACTGGCAGGTGGTATCTTTTAAAGTGGTTTGATTTGCTTCTGCCTTGTCTAAAGAAAAGTAACAGAAAAGTTTTTAGGCATAGAGAAAAAGACCTTAGTTAAAACAGTACCCCTAATTGTAGATGTCTGTAGGAACATGTTCAAAAGTAGATACTCCAAGAGACGAAGCTCGTTATTCTGGTGTTACGACAGTTGCACGTCCACTGTGTGTAATAGTGCAGGGGTTGGCACAGAAGAATGGTACCATACACCTAATCTCCCTGGTTTATAGATATCAGAAACTGTGCCTTTTTTTAGGTATGGGGTTCATGTGATTAGTGACAGTGCTGTCTGCATATCTGTTTGAAAAGAAAATATTGATAGAATTTGTGGTCCTTATCCGCAGCTGAAGATAAAAAGATCTGGTTGCATTTGCTAGTGTGAAACTGAATTACACCTTGAATAATTCATAGGAAATCTGACCTTGGCATCTTACTGGGAGAGGCGAGGAAAGGGATTGTGATCTGAAATATGATAGTAAGGGCTTTTTTAAAACGTGTAGTCTCTCACATTCACAGAAACGAATCCATCCTATCAATTTTTCAAGGCTCTTATTCCTCAGTATGAGTTAAATTGTTCGTGTCCCTGTGTTTGCAGATAACTTCTAGGAGGGATGTACAGTACCATTAAAATTAAGTCTCCCTCTCTACCCTGCCTTTTAAGTATGTAAAATGTTGGTTCTGTTTAGTGAGGGAGATGTAATTTTGAAACTGGTTTGGAAATATCTTACCCTTAAGTAGGAGTAAGACTTTGTTTACTCTGATTCAAGCACTTCTATTCTGTGTTTCTCTTACCACAGGGATGATATGGCTGATGGTCCAATATTCACAAGAGGCCTGACATGTCCTCGAGGCCTTGAGAGATACCCAGCACATGAAGATCAGCCTTCAAGTCCGTTCATTCCGAGGCACGATGAAGACTACCGCAACCGAGATGTTTTCCTCCACCGTTCAGATTACAGTCCGCACTATGGCCGTCGGGAGGAGCTGCCTCGTGGGAACGACAGAGACGGTGACAAACTGAGGAGATCCCCCTACCCACTGAGGGCAGAGGAGAGGGGACGAGAAATAAAGCGTCCACGGTATGAAAAGGATGAGAAGATGCATGGAGTGAGCGGGGAGCATCAGGGCTTCTCATCAGGAACACGAAACTACCGCAGACGAAGCCGCAGCCGTAGCAGAAGCCTGAGCCCATCGTACCTGAATGAAGAATTCCGAGAGCTTGACCGAGCAAGGAGGAAAAGAGAAGAAGAAGAGCGCAGTAGAAACTTGAATCATGATGTTTCAGGCAGTGGCTACGCAATCCCTGGCTTGACTAACACATTACAGACTTCTGAGCCTCGGTATACATATAGGCCTGAAGAAATCCCACCCATGCCCAAAAAATCTATTTTGAAGAAACGAGTAGAGATGGAAGTAGAGTCTGCTGTTCAGGTTTGGTCTCTGTGTGTCTGTCTATGTGCTTCTACCTTCCAAAACAGTTACTTCATGATACAAAATTTTAGTTTGATTTCCAAAATAGAAAAGCCAAATCTTTGTTTCCCTGTCTTTAAGAGAACAGGTATCTTTCTGCAGGGCTGTATAAGTTCGAAGTGCATTAAAAACTTTAAATGGTTATGGCATTTAATCAGGAATCATACACACACACACACACATATATATGTGTAGTCTGAGACAGAATAAAATGTCTTTGTGGAAATTCAACCCAGGATGCAGAGGTCTGGGGCAGCTTTCATAGAAAAGCTGACTCTCATAGTACCACTGGCAGTCAGGATATTGATTGAAGCTTTTCGTGTGTTGCAGTGTCTCTTTCTTGTTTCTTTATAGACTTAGAGAGCTGCCTAATGTATCCTCAGTACCTCTGTCTGAAAACAACTTCTAAATGTCCTTATTTTTTTCACTTTAGACTATAGGCTGGGATCAGCCCTGCTTAATTTGTACCAAACCTATACCAATTGAGTCTCAAAATTAGAGCAATGGACAGATAAGTGGCTGTGACTACTGTGATAAACTGGCTTCTCATGTTTTAACACATTACTTTGATTTGCCTGGTGTACTGATCAGTGTTGGTTTTACAGTGACATATTTATCTCAGGAGTGCTCCGATACCAAAGATCCCATTCCATACCTATTACTGGAAATGCTATTTAATATGGCATTAATTATGGATATCTGAAGAAGTGGCTGAGAATAACCCTAATGCAGTAGTTTTTACCTGAATTAAGGTATTGAAATCCTGTGTGGCCATGACTAAACTCAAAGCATATCCCAAACTATGTAACAGGGTTTCAATTTAAAAATTTCAGTTCTTACACTTGCAAAAAATTTGTGAAATATAATTGTGATTATATGTGTTCTCTGAGATAAGCATTCATTGTTGGACATGGCATTCCAGAATCATCAGGCAACTTGGTTTGTAATCTGCTGTGTTCTCTTTCCACTGTATATTGTCTCTTCTCACACTTTTATTCAGCTGTGAACTCGAGGAGAAATGAACTTGTTCTGTGAGGTGCATAGTGCCTTTGAAGTAAATAGTATCTTCTCTCTTTCAGCCCGAGGGCTTTTCAAGCAGTCCAGCCCCCAGCAAGGATCTTCCTCTTTCTGGTCAGTCTTCTTTGCCCCAAAGCAACAACATAGCTCCTTTTGCCTCTGAAGTGGAAAACTTTCTCAAACGGTTTAACAAAGGCTCTCTTGTGGAGTCTTCAAACCAGGAGTTGTGTGAAGATGTGTATGAGTGGAACCCACTCTCTGGGCCTCCCAAAGACCAAACTTTGACGTTTGAAGAGAAGTTTGGAAATTTCTTAAGTCACAAAGAAAAAGTAGAGCCCAAGTCAGAGCCCACTGATCGCCATACTGACTTCCTGCTGCCTCACGAGAGGGCCAGTCAGGATGGCAGTGGTTTCTCCCGCATTCTGGGCATGATGGCTGATTCTGTCAGTGCTCAGGAGAAGAGGAGGCGTAGCTTTCCTGACATTGAAGATGAAGAGAAATTTCTTTATGGTGATGAGGATGAGGAGACCAAAATTGAATCTCTCCCCATAGAGAGGCCCTCAGAGAGTTGTGGCAATGAGATAATAATACAGAAATTGAGCCCGCCTCCTTCTCCTGCTCCAGCTGTCAAGACAGATCCTTTAGAAGAGCCAAATGCAGAGTATGCAAAGATCCACGACTTACTCAAAACCATTGGACTTGACATTGGTGTTGCTGAAATTGGAAAACTGGCTGTTCGTACCCAGGAACGCCTTCATGGCAAAAAGGTGGCGTCTCGTTCTCCGGATCGTCGCTCTTTGGACACTCGCAGACTGGACGCCTGGGAGCTGCGCCGCAGCCGCAGTGACACCCGTTCTCCTGAGTCAGGCCAGCAGCGTTCAGCGTCACCTCCGGGCTCTTTCCAGCAGTCTAAAGATGCGTCCTCCCTTCAGAAATCAGACTATACTAAGAGCAAGGCAGTGGGACAGGAGATACCTCCACATGCACCAGAACAGCCTCTTTCTTCTGTGTCTCTCATTCCTTCAATTCCACCAACTCCTCCTAGTTTGCCAACTACACCTACTTCTGTTTCCCAATACCAAATTCCCAACTATTCCCACTACACTGCTGCTCAAATGCCCCAAAACTATCCCCCTCCCACAATGGCTCCTCCAGGATATGATGCATATGGGCACTACATGGCATATGCAGCCACTGGCTGGCCCATGTATCCCCCTGCCCAGCAGCCTAATCCTACGCTACCAGAAGCTCATGGTCTTCTTACGATGGCCATGTCAGCGAACCCCACACGTCCCAATCTCCGGGTGATCGAGACAGTCTCTCTGGGAAAGGATGTCCCTGATGTAAAGAGAGATGGTTCTGTGCTCGTTCAAGTCCCTACCACTCCTTCTCATTCCAAAGCACCCCTTCGTCTGTCGTCACACCCTCTCAAAAATACCACAGAGAGGATATCGGATGAAAAAAATCGGGCAGCTCAAAAGCAGAAGGTATGTTAGGTGTTCTGATATTTCAGAATGTGTTGGGTTGCATGGTTGGTGGGGTGGAAGCTTTTTCTCTTAAGGTGCATATGTTTTTTTTTTCCTGCATTGCTCCAGTTTAAAAATAGTTTGACCTAGTTTATTTCTGTTAGAGATTTCTGAGCATTTGTCTGTATTAATCTGTGACACTTAAAAAAATGAATTTTGAGTCTCCCTAAGTTGTATGCCATTGGCTATGGCAGAACAGATGAAATCAAAAACGAAGTTGAATTTCTTTGGACCAGCCAAAATCTTACAACAAAAGCACACGGTTGCCACAGTTTGGCTTTATTCTGCTGAGATTCAGATATTGAAATACCTGAAGATATCTGGAGATATGTAAAAATCTGAAGGGACAGTGTAAAGAAAATAAAATGGCTTTTTTTACTGATGTCCAGTGGCAGAACAAGAGGCAAGAGGCACAAACTGAAATATAGGAATTTCCATTTGAACATGCTACATTGTACGAAATACCATGTATACCATGGTACCATGTATACCAGGTTATACCTGTGTTAGACATTCTTAAATACATACTAAAGGATATCTTAATTCACCATCACATACAATCTTCTCTCTAGATTTATATTAATTCTCTTAACAAAAATCACAACATGAGAAGGATTTAGGGAAAACTCTACTTGGAGGTTCTGACACCAGTTCAGGCCATGCATGTTAATGTTTTCCTCTTCTAATTGTCTTGGTTTGTACAATAATTGCAGAGTAGTGGGGAAGAATGTATTTTAAAATAGGAAAAATAGTTACACAATTGTCAAAGAACTGGCAGATTCCCAAAAGTTGTTTACATTTTCAGACTGGTGTCCACTTGGTCTTTGTTGTTAAAATAAGGGCATAGAATTATTTGGGTATGAGGGGACAATTAAAAATCATCTAGTTCCAACCCCACTGCCATAGACAGGGACATGTTCCACTACACCAGGTTGCTCAGAGCGCCATCCAGCCTGGCCTTGAATACTTCAGGGCTGGAGAGTCCAAAATCTCTATGGGCAACCTGTTTCCATGCCTCACCATCCTCATTGTAGAAAAAATACTTCCTTTAAATCTAGTTTAAATCTACCCTCTTTTAGTTTGAAACTGTTGCCACTTTTCTGTGACTACAGACTTTGGTAAAATATCTGTATCTATTTTTCTTTCAAACTTCCTTTAGCTGCTGAGGCTGCAATATGCTCTTTTACTATAAGAGCCTTTTCTTCGCTTGTATGAAGTGCTACATCAACAATAAGTGAGCTTCCATTACTTGCAGGAATAATAATTCCTTCAGATGACATAGCTGAAATTTTATTCTTAATGAAATTTGGTACTTTTGGAAGAGCTATCTTGGCTAAAAGTACATGGTTTTCTTCTGCCCTGACATACCCTGGTAGCTCATTTGTGCATCTTGGTAGAACTTCTAAGGCTTTGTCTGCACTACAGAAATCTTTAACTTGAGCTTAGTCCACTGGGTTTTTCCTAGGATGGCTTGGAGTATAAAACTTCACATGCTCCACTTGATGCCTCCATGCTGCAGAAAACTCAGAAGAAGAGAATGGTGCTTTGATGATAAAAAAATAGCATACAAAACCAAAATAATAATGAAAAAATTCCTTACGGTATTTAAGATGTTGCTTAACTGTCTGCTTCAGGAAGGATTCAGGGATCCTGCCAACATTGACATTGCTGTAGTAGAAGTGATTGTCAAGAGAAGTCAAGATCACTTGTTTGTTAAGGGAGGAGTCTGTAGTAAGTTTTAAGAGCCTTGTGAAAGTAAAAAAATTGGGATTTGTCTCTTGAAAAATGAAGCTGGAAAAGAAACTGAAAGAACCTTTCAGGCTTCATTTTAGTATATTGCTTTGTTTCCTTCTATGAGAATCAATGAAAACCAGTGAAAAAAGGATTTGTGAGCTCCTGATGCCACAGATTACCTTAGTGAACAAGAAACAAATTTCATCCTGATGTTTCATGTCAGTTTGAAGCAAAACATAACTAATAGCTAAAATGGGCCAGAGTCAAAGCAGGAGGCAAGGTGAAGGGCTGTGAAGGCTGATGGACCATGCTAGCTTTACAAATACTGCATGAGTCTTGAACAGCCACATGACATTGATCTTGATTAGCCCTGTAGAAGATAGTCAGCTGAGCCTAGGGGCCTTGGGAAGTGGTGCAACAAACAGCAGTTTAGAGAAATACATTGCCCAAAAGAAATAAAAATTGCCTAAAAACTTGTTTGAAGCATGACCACACGATAGTTACCTTCGGATACAGAGGAAGAGATGTATTTATTGTGTTAAAATACTCAAGTACATTTTGGGAATAATGAACAGTGTTCTGTGTCTGGAAAGCTGAGATCTTCCTGTCATTCTTGCAAGACTCTTTAACTTGTGTTGGGAAGAGAAGAAAATCCAGACACCTTCCAATTTATTTAGGTGATAGAAGAGAGAGAAAAACTGAAGAATGATCGAGAAGCACGGCAGAAGAAGCTTTACTATCTCAAGACTGAATTGGACAGGCTTCGTAAACAGCAAGGTAAAGTGCATTACCCACCCCCACAACCCCGTCTTCTTTTTTCTCCCCCATTGGAATGTGTCACAAGTCCTGGTATCCAACAGGAGAAGGAGGACCAAAATAATAACAGTCCATAATGTATTTTCATACTCCTGGCAATGCACAACTCTTGAGAAAGCACTGACCTAGTTACTATATTAAGATCAATTGCATCAAAATTTGAGCAAACAGTTGCTCTTGCATCTTCTTGCCTTGATAAACTAAAGGAATTGTACCTTATGCATTTTAGTGCTTCTTTAGAAGAAGTGAGAAATAGTCACTGAAAATGTTATTGTGCCTTTCAATTTTTCATTAATCTTATCTGCAGATGGAAAAGTCCTCTCTCAAGAGAGCTAATTTTGATTCAAGTAAATACTTAATTCCCTCACCTTTGGAAAATGATACTTTCAGGTTAGAATATGCAATTTAACTTTTGCTTGTTTGGTCACACAGGGAAATAAGGATTATTAAATTGATACTCTGGAGGATAATGGTGCCTCTCTTAGGATGTGTGTTATCATAGTCCTTATGGAGGCACATCATGCAGATTTAGTGATGCTGTACCTGAGAGTCAGTTCCATCCTTACAACTTTATAGTGAAGATTTAGCCTTAAAATTTTATATTAGTATTTTACTTATTGCTGGAATTATTGTACAGATCTAAAGTCAGTTTTCCTGGTGCATTTCTGACTCTTCTGCTTCCTTGATTGCCTCAGGAGAGATGTTGAGGAAAAAGCGTCGTGAGAAGGACGGACACAAAGACCCGTTGTTGGTTGAGGTGAACAGACTACAAGAGAATATTATGAAGGAGATTGCAGAGCTGCATAAAGAATCTGATGCGGCCGACAAGAAGCAGTCTGAGCTTGACAAAGTAGCACAAATCCTGGGGATTAACATATTTGAAAAACCCCGGAAACCATCTGTGGAAACTAAAGATTCCTCGGAAAAGAGCAGCAAGTCAGAAAATGCAAAAGGTGTAGAGAAAACATCTTCCTCCAACAAGGTAAAGTCTTACAGTTTGTGTTCTAATGATTTTCCCACTAAGAGAAGAGGGCATTGGGGAGACAGCTGGTCCCAAACACTTACTAAAGGATCATTTGATATTTGTTACCACATCTCATACACTGGCTTTGATGGTGCATGCAGGTGAGAGTCAATGTATCAGTGTATATAATGTCCCTCAGGGTTTGTGCAGTTCAGCACCACTCACTGTTTTTTATCTTGGTTTTGCTGAGGTGTTGGTTGGATTGAACAGCATCATGAATGTGTGTAGCTGTTTGGTCTCAATACCATACCAGGAGGACAGACCTTTTTTTCCTCTACAGAATTTCTGTCATGGCCTTTCAGGGAGGAGTGTTTATAGCAGCAAAGCTCTCTGAAAGTTGGGAGCATGTTGGTTTTCTCACTGGGTAATGATAGTAACAAATCACAGGACTTAAAGATGATGGTCAGCGTAACATGTTTTATATGTACGTGTGTCCTCTCTTAAGAAATGTCAGTATGCATCAGTATGGTCTCTCTGACATGGTCTGTACTACTCTGTGCTGGATGTACCATAACAGGCTTATTGCATGCCAGAAGATAGTTTTACTTTGAAAGTAGGATGGATACTACTACTACCTACTGAAAGGTTATGCTTGTATTCAGGAAATCACTTATCCTGCTTTTCAGATGTTTACTCAAATATGTAGCAGAAATAGCTAATGGGAAATTGTAGATGAATTTTCTGTAGATCTTAGCATATATATTTTTTGCAGGGAGGAAAACATTAGTAGGATAAGAGGTATAAGGAAAACTGAGAGGGCACCTCATCAGTTTATCTGAAGGGGGAATGTCAAGAGTGTGGAGCCAGGTTTTTCTTAGTGATGCTGAGCAATAGGACAAGAGGCAGTGGGCAGAAACCAATGGACAGGAAGTTCCAGCTGAATGTGAGGAAGAACTTCTTTAGTGTGTGGGTGACTGAGCACTGGAACAGATTGCCCAGAGAGGTTGTGGAGTCTTCCTCACTGGAGATAATCCAGTACCATCTAGACACAGTCCTGTGTCATGTGCTCTGGGATGTCCCTGCTTGAGCATGGACATTGGACCAGATGATCCACTGTGGTCCCTTCCAGTCTTGCCCGTTTAGTGATTCTCTGTTTCCTACAAAGCCAATCAAATCTGCTTATCCTGTAAAATTTTCCTTATGCTTTACTGTGGTCTGAGAACTCATTAGGTACCTTTAATTTAAAGACTTGCTTTTGGTTTTTTGTTGTTTCTTGAAACATCTCTGAAGTTTACTGTCCACTTACTTTATCAAATCAGTTGCTTTAGTCACCACTTCATAAAACTAAATAGGCAAAAATGTTTGTTATGTTCTACATTGCATTAAGTTATATTGTTTTATTTTTCTGAGATATGCATGTATGAATATATTTTTTATTATTTTAATTTGCATTGTCTGTGTCGTCCAAACCCATAATGACTTGATCTCCTTTTCATAGCTTCTTATTTTAACATGGAAAATAGTGAGTTCTGGACAAGAACATTTAATATTCTCGTACGTATGTACACACATAGGACACGGCCTTCAGCCTCTAAAATTCACGTTGTAGTTCTGATTGTTAACTTTTTTTTCATGAAAAGAAAGATGGTGCAGGCCTTTCAGCAATGAGATTGGTTGACTCTGCCAACCTGAGGGCAAAAGCCTTTGCCTTTCTGCTTATTTGCAAGGTACCTTGTGGTCCCTTGCTGCTGACCCTGTGTCTGTGTGTTGTTACACAGTCAGTGCAGAGGTGAAGCCAGTGTTACTGTGCTGAAGAAACATATCACCCTGTCTGGGCTCTAAATAGTAGCAAATTATAAAGGCAGCTTTGAGCGGGTAATGCACAAACTGGAGTTAAAAGTGGGCTGTCACCTGTCTATCTGAGAAGCATTATCTTTTTAAAGTTCTAACTGAAATAGTATTTTTATAGGTGTATGTCTGCAAATAACCTAAACATTGATGCTTGTGTGACATAGTGAAAATCCTTCCATGCACCTCCTGCAGATAAGTTGATCTCGTTGTTCAAGAGAATGTCTGCTATGTTCTTGCTGACAGAATATGTGCAAATATTCATTGGGTCACTTCTTATTCTGCTACCAAGAACTCGATTATATTGGGATATGGATATCTGTGAGGTGCATAGTGACCTGGCTGTCTCTTCATTCTTTGATTTACAATGCATGTTGTGGGGGATGATGTTAAGGAATTTAAAGTAAGGCAGATGTTATTTGACAATTTTGAATCTGCTTAAATAAATTTGTTCTGTGCTGGTAGTGAATGACTTGGAAATCATGCAACCAACTTGAGTCTGCTGAATTAACATGCTGTTCTTTCCAGACTGCCATGTAAAATGATAACATGATGAACTTTATGCCATTGAAAATGTAACTTAGAACTCAAAATACATCTAGTACTATTGTAATCTAAATTACCAGGGCTCATTCATGGTGTATTTCAGATAACACTTATTTTGCTACAAGTGTTAGTTTAGTATTAATTTTGGATAGAGTCCTGAAATGTCTGTATATCATTTTATGGTGTCTTTCTGTGCAGATCAATGTAAGTGCAAACATCATATGTTTAAATCACAAGATCCTTCACCTTATATGCTTAGGTAATTAACAAAACTGTCCTTCATTTATTACTAAGCAACAAGTTTTCTGGAGAATTCAGGAACACTCAAATAATCTGCTAAAACCAATGGAGTTAAATACTTTCAGTCAACTGATTTTTGCTTCCTTTTCCATTCTGCTTTCATCCAAGCTACTTTTACAGTAACTTCTGAATGCCTCTAGGGCAACCGTTTGAGGTCTTCTGGGCACTGTTTGGCTAGTATGGTAAATTGGAACTGTTATGTGAAACCAATAAAGTGGGAAGGGTGCATGCCACAGGGAACTCGTTAATTTGGTTCCTTGATTACCTACAACCATCCAGCCATTACATCTGGATCCCTTATTGGAAACTCTTCAATGCAGCCACGCAGCATCTTAGTCGGCAATACCAGCTCTCTGAAACAGTGGAATTAACCTGGGCGCTGAAAAGCAGGTGATATATTTATTTATTTTTTTCGGTGTGTATGGCTTCTGCTGGAGGCAGGTTCTGAGTTCTAGAGCATTTTGTCTGTCCTGCCTTGTCTTAGAGAAGTGTTTCCTTCTGTTCAATTTAGGAATCAAAAACTACTAATGAAAAATCGAGAGGTAGAAGCCCGAAGCCAGCAGAATCCTCTTCACAGTCCTCCAAACATCCTTTCCAGTTGGCCAATATTTATGAATATTATGATGCAGGGAACCACTGGTGCAAAGACTGCAATACCATCTGCGGGACCATGTTTGACTTTTTCACACACATGCATAATAAGAAACACAGACAGGTATGTTGCAGGCTTCCTTCACTAAGTGCATTTCATATTGCTATGAATAATTACACTAAAACATACATCACAGACCTACATTTTACAAGAGAACCTGAAGTAAAACAAACCCAAGAAGTAGCCTATCAAATTCTTTTCCCCTAATTTTGGACTTGAGCAGTTGTACAGCTACTGGTGTATTCCAAATAGTGTAAATGGGGTGTGTGTTCAGTTTGCTCGGGTTTGCCAGTTGTGTTTCACATGGGTACCTGTTCTTCACGGTCATTTACATTCCACACTTTTCACAGGTTATTTTGCCATTGTAAATTGCAAAATGGGAGGGAAAAGAGAGGAAAACTAGTTCTTGTAAATATTTGCACGTTGATTTTAATATTCAGTGTTCTAAAAGGAAATTAAAAAGGAAAAAGACAAGTGTACTTGCCTTGCTAGTGTAATATATGAGCCTATATACCTCTGTCACTGTGCAAATAGACCCTGGATCCTTACAACAGACCTTGGGCTTCGAAGACCCAGAGTGAGACCAAACAAGACTCCATAAAACGCATTGATAAGATAACAGTTCCTGCCAAAGGTATGTTAATTTTTATTAACTCGACTATCATCCCTCTTTGCCCTCCAGCAGGTTCCACTTGCTCAGAGAAAGGAATTTTCAAAACTTTACCTTGGTGTATAGGAGCACATATAGATACTGTATTATTAGGAAAAAGGCAAATTATTTAGTTTCTTAACTGTTCTTGTAGAAAAGGTCATGAAGCAAGAGTGTAGGAAAAATGTGTTTTCTTCTTTTCTTTTTAGAGGTTAGTTTTTTATTTTGAATACCAGTTGTCTTTTAGTGTAGTTCTGAAGTAATTTTTGCCAACGTATTAGAATTTAGAGCATGACCACGAGAGTTGGCAGTGTTTGGGTAGATCTTGCACAGTACTCCACACAGTCTTGTAGTAGACTTTTCAGTATATTTTTAGCAGAGGTTTCCCTGAAAATTGACTGATGAGTACTTGTTATAGTGCAGATACAGAGAATCTGAGACAGACATATGGAAGGAGCTGTAACTGAGTTAAAAATTAATATAAGATTTAAAATATTAATGTCTAAAAGGCCTGCCAGTGATCAACTAATTTTATTAATCTGTTACATATTTCTAGTAGTCTAGTAGTGCCCACTAAAGAAGAATCTGCAGTGTCTTAGTAACTGTAACAGGTTCTGTAGGCACAAGGATGCAATCTTGCTGAACTTCAACGAAAATACTTGTAAACCAGGTGTTCAGTATTTGAGCAGACTATACCAGAAAGATGGAAAATAGATCAAGACTGTAGGAAATGTTAACCTACTTTAATGCTCGATTACCTTAATAGAATGGAGAACATTTAAATCTTGAACCATAGCAATAAACGTCTTCACTTTACATGTTTATTCCTGGTAGTGGTGGTTCCTATAATGTAACTGTAAGGAGAGCAGTATTAGCTGTTCTAAAAAGAACATTACTGGAGGTTTTGCTATTGTTCTTTGACCAGCTTTGTTAAGAGCTTGGCATTTATTAAGTTTTGTTTCTCTGATAATTTTCTTTGGCCTTTTCAGGCTCTGAGTTTCTGATTCCCATCACTGGATATTATTGCCAGCTCTGTCATGAATTTTTTGGAGATCAAATCTCAGCAGAGCAGCATGTGAAAAGTCATCCCCACAATGAGAAATATAAGGTTGGTAACTGGTGTACTAGGAAAGAGACATTCCCTGCATTAGCTTATGCTTGTTCTGTCTTCCTTTCCTGAAGAATGACATTAACTCCTTGGACTGTATGTATTTGGTTATCTTCACTACATTCTACTGAGCTAAATAAGCAGAACTTCCCACTACATCAGCACATAGAGAGATATTTTATCTGCATGAAGCTGAAACAGTGTCTACTGTAAAGTGACAGCACTGCTGCAAGCAGTTTGTAGTACCTCAGTTTCTTGGTAGGAAAAACGTTCCCTGTTCTCTTAGTGTTGAGGTGGCACTTACTGAACGAGTCAAAATTGTCAGAGCTGCATTCGTTTATTTTTTTTTCATGGAAACAGTGGCTAAAATGTTGCTGTTTATTTCTACAGAAATACATAGATGAAAACCCACTCTATGAAGAGAGGAGAAATCTAGACCGTCAAGCTGGATTGGCTGTAGTTCTGGAAACAGAGCGCAGGCGGCAAAACGAGCTGAAACGGAAACTGGTTGAGAAACAGAAGGAAGAGAAGGATGAGAAAACCCCAAAAATAATAAAGAAGGAGGAAGTAAAGAACATCCCGGAGTCTGGAGAAGGGAGTAATGAAAGTCAAGGCAAAACAGATTCTTCCGGGCGAAAAATGGGTATCATGGTAAAGCTAAAGAAGGAAGAGAAGACAGAGGAGAAGAAGGAAGAAAAGAAAGAGGAATCTAAAAAGGAATCACCAAGCCAGACCTCCTTTGGGAAATTCAGCTGGAAAAAGACTGAGAGAGAGGATAAAACCCCAGGAGCTATTCCAAAGGAAGAGAATACAGAAGGAAACAAAGAGGAGAACAAGTGCCAGTCTGTGAAATCCCATATCAAACCCATTGAAATCAAGCTGTCTGGGAAAACTGTTATTCCACACACTAGCCCATGGATACCAGTTGTTTCTACACCAACACCAACAAAAATTCTCCCCAACCTACCAGTCCCCACCATGATTTTCAGGAAGTCTAATACTGCAACAGTTAGTAAACCACCACCTTTGAACACCTTTTTATCCATAAAATCCTCTGGAACTACCACGAAACCACTGCCAGTGGTAAAAGAAACAAGTGCAGATCTTCTACTGCCTCCAGATATCATATCAAAAGCTTTTGGAGGAGAAGAAGTAATTTTAAAAGGCTCAGAGGAGGATTTGAAAGCAGCAGAGAAAAATGAGTCTTCTCAGACTGTAGATAAACTACCTCCACCCCGTCCTCCACCAGCAGTCCAGCCAGCAGCTGTCATCCCTGCAGATGAAGTAGCTCCAGGTGTGTCCGAAAGTGAACAGACAATGTTGGCAACACCTGTGAGACCACCACCCCCTTCAACTGCTTTCAGTGAACAAGCAAAAAAGATAGAGAAACGAAATTCTTGCTTAGCCACAGCCAATGCTAAAGATCTCTATGATATTTTCTACAGTAGTGGTGGAAAGGCTTCAGCTGACAGCAAGCTTGCAAGTTCTGCTCTTCCAAATGGCGAAAACCCTAACATAACAAAACCTGCAGACTTATCTGCAAATCACAAAACAAATAATAGCTCATCCTCGTTGAAAGAGGATTCTGAGAATGTGGATTCCTCACAGTGTAATAATCAAGTGACAGGGAGTTTGGTTCCTGTTGAAAATCAGGCTGAAATTAACACAAAGTCACTTCAGCCTCACCTATCAGAAATGTCAGTCACAGAATTGTCAGAAAAGAATCCTGTTTCTGGTATCCAGATGCCTGCAGAAATTGGACTTGTTGATACAGGAGGTGGAGAGCAGGCAGGCAGTCTGGAATTCTGTCATCTACAGAAAACTGAGGTCCAAGAGAAGGTTGGACAGGAAGATGGAAATAAAACTCCAGTTACAAATGTTCCTGGTACCTTGGAGAAAGACACAAAGACAAAAGACTGGGAAATAAAAGCAGTAAAGCCTAAGCATAGCCTACACCCAAAGACTTTGTTACCTGAGACACAGAATGAAATTCAAAGTTTGGGAAATTCCCACTTGGTAGGGGAAAAATTAAATGATAACTGTAGAACTCACTCAGAAATAGATAGTTCGGACTTACACTGGGGCACTTCCAAAACTAGTAATGGAAAGGAACACGTAGTCACAACTCGTTCTGAAAGTGGTTGGGATCTATCAAATACTCCAAATCCAGAAATAAAATCTGGTTCTAATGAGGTTAATGCTTCAGAATTGACAGAGGGACAGACAGAAACTAGAAGTACCCTATTAAAAGTTCAAGAAAAAGTTCAACTTAAACCTTCAGGCCATGCAGTGTTGGATAACCAAACCCAGAAGCAGGGAGTTGAACGGTTAGTCAATACCTGCTCAAACATTGTTGAACTCAGATCTAGTCTAGAATTAGTAGCTGAAAATGAAAAAACGTCATTAAGACACACTGGATCTGATGCAAGATTAGATAATTTTCTTTTCAAGAGACCATCAGAGGATGTGAAACACATGAAGACACCCTCCCAGAAAGCAGAGCTTGAGTTGAAAAGCACTGATTCCAATTTGGGAGACAAGGTAAAACATGAATGTTTCAGCATCATTTCAGCAGGACTTTCAAAGGAAAATACAGAAGAAGTCACAAAACCAGAAACTATTGCGTCCATTAAGCTGGAGTCCAGTAAACTTAAAAAACTGGGCATTGAAAGAACAGTGAATGAAACTGAGATTACTGATTTTGCTACACTGACTTCTGGTAGCTGTGAAGATAAAATTTGCACACGGAAACCTATGCTGCAACCTGGATCACAGACCTCAAATAGTGACACTACAGAAGTGGTCATGCCAGTTCTAGAAATGCAGGGCATTTCTCCCACCTCTGAGATACGCATGCAAGTGAAGGAGAGCAAAGGTGGTGCTGGTGAAATGCCATCATTGAGTTGTGACAGAGGCACCACAGAAGGTCAGACTTCTGGGTGTGTGGAAACTTTAATGCCTGGGCTCAAAGAAACACTTGGGAAGGTGGGTGGCTCAGGAGGCAAGGGAATGTGCACCATCCAGAGCAAGAAGACTGAGCAAACAGAAGGTCCTGACAGTAGTTTGCAAACTACAATGAATTCAGGAATTGTTGAAAGCATAGCAGAAAGCCCAGTGGGTTGAAGTAAACCCAGCCAGTCCCAATATTTGAGGAGCCAGAGCTGGGATTATGTATATGTTTTTTGTTTGTTTTCCTTCCAGCTGAGAGTTTTGGGTGTATTTTGCATTCTGTGGTAGGACTTGACTAAACTGAAACGTAAATCATTGGAAGGCAGTCACATACTTTATTCTGTACATAATTAATTGTGTAAAATGTTTTTTCATGTGAATTTTTTTGCAAATTTCTTTTCTACACTCTGCTATTAAAATGGAATCTCGTTTATAATGCGTGCGTCTTCTTCATTTTGGGGGCTTCTATTCTTTGACTATTCCTGGGTGATTTCCAGCTCACCCAGTTTGTGTCAGTAACACCATGAGTAGCCCAGCTGCTGAGACAAGCTCAAGAACAGCACTTTTGAACTGAGGAAATGGAGACTTGAAGAAGAACTAAAACTGAAAATTTCTTTGAACTGTAACACATGGGTTTGTTTACTTTTGTTGTTTGAAATGCAGGAATGTGTTTAGAGTTCATTTTGTTTGTCTGTTTATCTGTCTCTGTGATTTGTAATTACTGTTGTATTACATCTGTACTTAAGGTGTTTCACTGTATTGTATAAGCACATGTATGGATGCCACATCAGTAAGCAAGGGGAGAAAATCTGTCCCGACTGGCTTTTGGAGAAGAAAACTAATCGGTAAGGCTCTGTGGCCTGACACCTGGACCAGACATATTGAGGTCACTTACGTGATTTGAAATGGGCTTTCTTTCATTTTATTGTGATCCAGTAACTATTTGTGTTAAATCATTTAGCAGCTGACCAGCTCTGAAGAAGTAAGAAGATCAGAACCCTGGTGTCAGGAATTGGACTCGCTTCATGTGATACAGACACATGCATGCCTACCCTGAATGGTCCTTGAACTATTGAGTGTGATGGTTCTCATTTGTATAGCTTGTTAAAGACTAAAGTATTAAATGTGTTTCCTTGGATAAATATAACATTTTTATTTGTAAATTGTTTAAAAAATAAACACATGGAGGTCAACAAGGCTTTCTTCTTGGTTTTGTTTTTTCCTTAACTCAGTAAAAGTGTTTTATTTCAATTAGTTTCTGACTCCTGTAGTAGTTGATAAAATTGAGAAACTGTAGAGGATGAAGATACTCAACAGTTAGCATGCTCAATAAAAACCAGTTTATTCCCAGCTGAAGTCAATGGAAGAGCTACTGTCAACATCATCAGTGAAAGTTTGTTTGAAGTCCTGAACCCTGTGTAAAACCAGAGGTGGGGCATCAGGGAGGGACCCCAGCACAGCTTGAATTTCTGTAATCACTACCTGCACGTGGACCTCTGGAGAAGGCAAAATCACCATTTGTCTTCGTTTTCCATGACTGTGTGTGAGGAAGGTATGAAATGTTTCTCAGAGTCTTACGGTGGTTTTCATACAAGAAATGTAAGAACTGTCTAAGCTGAATTTGGAAATTTAGTATAAATGGTCAACAGTAAAAAGGTAATTAAGGGAAGAGAGTTTTGAGAAAGTCTCTTTGAGCTGTTTTTATGACGTTAAGCAGTTACTGCATTGAATAGGTTAGTATCATTGCCCTACTTTCATCACATAGCTGATTTACTGTCAAAACCAAAGAAAGCAAGGTTTGATATGCTTTGATAGTTTTAAATGGAGTTGGGCAATGAGAGGAGTTTGCTTAAAGTCCTTTGTAGTTGTTTCTTGGTTTTCTTCTGTATTTTTTTTATTATATACCTGAGTTTGTTTGTTTACATTTGACAGATAAATTTTTCCCCACATTTTCTTTCCAATTTTTTCAGTAAAGTGCTTGGTCTCTTTTAAAGCCACAGAGGAAGAGGGGAATTGATTTTCTTACCTGCCTTGTATTGAGAGATGTAAGTGCAGGGAAAGGAAATATTAAAGGAAAGGCTGTATTTTTCTAGAGTTCTGCACTTTAGATGGTTTTGGAATACATGTATGCATGCTTTCTGGCTAGTTTCCTCTTGCAGATTGGTTTTCATTAAGGTCTCAGTGCATACAGTGGCAAACTGAGTTATCTGGACAGTCTTCTTCAGACAATCTTATTCAATGCTGTGTTATCTGTCGTGGAACTTGATTTTAAAAATTAACTTTTTGGGGGGGGGAAAGGACAGTATAATTCCATTATCCTTGTTCTGTGCTCTACAGTTGCTTCTACAAGTAGTGGTCATGGTCAGTGCTGGCCCTGGCTGGCCATGAATGGAGAGGGGCTAGCACCAAGGGCAAGCAAGAACTTTGAAAAGGAGAAACTGGGAGTTGTTACCCCGTAAATGTCTAAAGATTTCCGGAATCTGAACTTTCCTGTGGTCTAAATTAAATACTATTTCTCCTCATGCCCTTTATTCTATTCCTGAGAGGAGGTAGGGCTCTTTACTCCTGGAAGGAAGATTAACTTGGTCTCTTTTGGGGAAAGAGTGCATGGTAATCCTTGAACCTCTGGAATGGACAAGGACATAATGGGTGGCGTAGGTGATGATATCTAGGCCAGTTGGCAGACAAGAGGCATTAACTGTAATTTTATGAAATTGCATGTATTTTTATTTATGTATTTTTTTCTTTTTTTTCCCCTTTTTTTTCCCCTGTGGTTTCCAGAGGCTTGCAGTATATGATTTATCCACTGTACTCGTTCCCTGTGCTGGCAGAGCTGTAGCATAGTTCACTGACTGGGAAGCCTAATTTCTAGCCTGGCCTTGGACTCTTCCAGATCTCAGCAGGAGGGGTGAGTTAATGGGGATTTACTTGTCTGTTTGAATGGTGCAATACATTACCTCTCCTTCCTGACATAGTTCTCTAAAAACTGCATAAAGCATAAGAAGTTATCTTTTTCCTGGTTTTCAGAAGGCTTCTGATAGGAAGGAAACAAATACAGTTTGAATGTTTCTACCTTTACTTCAAACCAGGCACAAATACCTAGTAAATTCAAAGAACAGTGGATTAACTCTTGAGTCTTCATTTGATGCTGTAACCTTTAGTTTGTCATGATGGAGGCTAGCACATCCTTTCTCCTGGATGTTGCAAAACCAAGTTTGATTAAGAAGCAGTGGGAGAAGAGACATAGAAAAGCTGTGGTCATCCTGTCAGTCTGTTTGAAGGCCAGGTGGGTTTTTAATACTTCTTCCAGTCTCTTTGAATGTATGTTTTAGAAAGGAGAAGAAACCTTCAAATGTTTTAGGCAAAACACAGTAAATTTTCCTGGAGTGTGTTGGGTAGGTAAACCTTGCTTCCAGCTTGCTGAAATCTTGTCTTTGACTAAGGTTTAGCTAAGCAGTAGTAGGCTTTTGGGAGGATTTTTTGTTTCTCTAGAATTTTAAATAGTGTGTGAGCACAGAAGAAATGTAGCAGCCATCATTCTGTTTGTAAATTTTTTCCAAATGCTTTTGTGCCCTAGTAGTAAAAAGTATAAGTAAGGTCTCTTTTCCAGAATCATCATCCCTGGAAGCATTCAAAAGACACGTGGATGTGGCACTAGAGGGCATGGGTCGGTGGTGAACACAGTGGTGCTGGGTTAATGGTTGGACTCAATGATCTCAGAAGTTTTTTCTAGTCTTTGTGGTTTTATGAGTCCTTAATTTTTCTCAAGGGTGGAAATAAATGCCTAATTCTTATCTAAGAGAAGGTCCACAAAGAAATTTTCTTATGGAAACGGTAGGAAATTTGGGCAAAGGTCAATTTTTTTTTATCCTGGTAAACCCCTAACAGTTATTAGAAATACCTATAAAAGTGACGATAGCAGAAGGGTTTTTTTTAAAAACCCACAACCTTCCACCAAACCAGTGCATCCCAAAGCATGACAAAACTGCATTTCTTTACTGCAGAGGGCAAGAGAAATCACCTGAGACAGGTTTTCATGTGGCACCTGATGTAATACTGTGTTGGTTTATTCTTCTCTCAGCACATTACAAAAGGTTAAAGGGAGTAAAGTCATTCTCTGAGACAGAGCTTGGTCCTTTTGTGCCAGCTGCATGGTTATGTGCAAACAGCCTACGTGCCAGCAGTGTGGGAGTATAAAGCAGCCATAAAATTTATTTTGCTTGACTCCTCTGCTTCTGTCTGGCATGAAGAAGAGAGAGATGCAAGTTACGGTTGCTAGACTATCCTTTCTGGCAGCTATTTTCAGACAATATGGATGGATTCATGTTTATAACTGACTTGAGCAGAATAACGCAGCTGCAGACTGTTATATTCTGCCTTAGAGCAGAAATCCAAGGCTCCACAGTTAGAATTAGTTTCTGGGTTTTGTTTTCTGATCCCACTTCCACCTCCTCTTGTGTTGTTGCTTGTGTGTGATGAGAAGGCTGATTTCCGTGTGTTAGCAGTCCTAGGCTCTGGTAAAATGAGTCAGGCTTCTGTTACAATTCCCGTGAAGCTGTTCATCAACTGGGGCTGCAGAGAGCAGAGCCATTAGAACTGGTTGGGCAGGTGGTGGAGAATAGATGAACACTTGAAGGAAATAAAACCTACATTAGAGCTGCTTCAAGGCAAAAACAGTATTCCCTTTCCCAGCAGCCTGACTGAAGAATCTTCATTTTACAGACAGTAGAGCACACAAGGTAATGTTTTCAATTCTTAATCAAATACAATTTTTCTTCGAGAAGCTGCTTTTGAGGGGAAGTTACAGCCAGAACCTAAGCAACAGTGCAATACTACAAGCCATTTGTGTTACCACCCTGTTTAATTTGGTTTCAAACTTTAGATGAATGTAGAAACAAAATAACACTTTAGGAGCCCTGGTAGCTGTGATGGATGAAAAACCCTGTAATAGCTATCTGATAAAGAAATTACAGGGATGGCCTTCATATCAGACCTCACATTAAGCTGTATTCATATCTTGTCAGAGATGAAAAAAACAGGAATTAAATGCAAATGCCAATAATTAGATGAGAGGAGTCTTGTAGCTAGGTACCTGCAAGATGGGTATTTAGACATGCTTGATTAGTGAGGGAAAAAAATAAAAAAGTTCATTAACAAAGGAATATCAGTCACTGCATTTTCTCTTAAGAACTGAAGGCTTAATGCAATTTAACCTATTTAACATGGTGCTTTCCAGGTACTCTTTAAATTTCATGTCCTCTGCTAGTTAGTTTCATGTGTTCTATTGCTTAACCAAGGTGAGAGAATGGTTCAAAACCAATGTATCTCTGTCGTGTCCAAGCTAGGGTTACAAAAGTGATTCACACTTCTATTTTATGTATTCAGTGCAATGAAGTCACGCAATGGATTCAGTTTGGCTGGCTGAAAAAAAATCCG